GATACGTTTTAAAGAATCATTCCAATCTTCTCTACAGATGCTTTTGATAAAGATACACAGCTGTGTTGTGGTCTCGGTGATAATAAGAAGATCCTGTTGAGAATTTCCGATCGCCACCAGTGCTGCGGACATGACCAGTTTGACCGTGTGACTCAGCACTGCTGCCTGAAGGATGGCTCTTTAGTGATACATTCCATTAACTCCAGCAATTGTAGAGAGGAGTCAGGTGAGTCTCACCTTACAATTTTTAAACGCAGTTTTATGCAATGTATTGAATTCATATTTTTTAAATGAATTCCCAGCTGTTTTTCCCTTTTTAGGGCAAAAGTGGGATAAAAAATCTGTGTTCTTCGGTAGGGTGTAGGGGGTTACGACCTGGCTAGTAGGGGAAAAGGGAAGCATCATAAAAAGGAGATGGTTTTGGTAAATTATTTATTAAAAAAGAAGTAAAACTGTGACACAGCAACAAAAAGGTGAGGCTAATTGAAATGGCCAAAGAGTGCTGCCCAATTCAATAACACAGTAAAATGTGTGTGTGTGTGTGTGTGTGTGTGTGTTTACTTAACAAAACTAAAAGCTGTCTCAGTTCACACAATAGAACGAGGGCCTCAGAACATACATGATTTTACAAATAAATAGGAAAGACAACGAGAGGCAAGCTGAAAACAAACAGAGCTTTGCTAAGACTGTCGAGCTGGCAAAGCTTCTTAAGGTGTCAGTGGACAGGTGCTCCCCTTTTGATTGGTTGAATGTCTTGTTGCAGCTCCTTACCTATCAGGGTTCACCAGCAGCAGCAGCACAGGTGAATGAAATCAGGCCAACGCGCACGCCAAACACAGGAGACGGGGTGCGGCTGGAGCTGTAACATAGGGCTACATTCAAAGTGTTTGGGCCCCCTAGAGCGGGATGCCTTACTCGATTGACTATTTCACTGATGCCTAGAGCTGGCCTCTGCTTTTTACATGTACCAGGGTGGAATTTTCATGCATATTGTACATCTATGGGTGCTAAAGGTCCTGCGTTGTCATGTCAGACTTCATTTGGGTTGGTTGGTCTTTAGATGGCATTGTGATCAGTTCTTCATTTATATTTTTAAGTCACAACATAAGATTTGTTTACGTATCTGGCATGAATTTTTATTTTTCGTCTGAAACTAAAAGATAGCACCCTGCACAGGGACCTTTACACATTTCCCATTCCCTTAAACATATTTTAAATGGTATTGTAACATCAGGGAGGTGTGTAATGCCTGTATCTTGACTTAATAGTATATGTATGCCTGTGTACCAACCATCTTTGCCATCTTTCCAAATGAAACAGTGTCAGCTCTCTGTGGACAGAAGACATATGACGAACGCAACGAACTGTGCTGTGAATCATCTCTAGTAGCCAAACCAACACCAGCTTCCAAATGCTGCGGTAATGGTGAGTAGAGCAGGAGAAAAGAAAACATCCTTTGAATTAGACGGGGAAAAAACTAAGAAGTATTGAACAGAAGTAAAACTAAACACACACTGACTACATCAGGCCAGTTGTGATATTGGATGAGGTTGAAGTGATACTGAATAATCCTGATTCTTTCCCCAGAGACATATGATGAAGACAACCAGTTGTGTTGTGGTCTTAATGAAAAGAAGATCCTGAAGAGAATGTCCAGTAACCACGAGTGTTGTGGACAGAAGGGCCAGTACGACAAAATGACTCAGCGCTGCTGTTTGGTGGATAACGCTTTGAAGATACAACCTATTAATTCCACATGCTCTGAGGAATTGTCGAGTGCGTATGAATAATCCCTTTAACTGCTTTACACAGCTTCCTGTGAATCTATGAAATATTTTGTTTTAGTTCTGACTGCTTCTCAGTATCGTAGTGTTTTTTTTGATGTACACATTTTTAAGTTCATCTACTCAGTGCAGCCCGGTTTATGACATCAACAGGTTGATCATTAAAGGTCCTCGTAGATCATAATTGACTGTAAAGCTTCCTATTTCTGTTTTATAACTTAAGAGCAGTTGTTACGACCAGGGAATTTAGGACCCAGATGCAGGACACATAAACAGCGGGGTTGATTGGTAATGAGGTTTATTGTGGCAAATGGAGATGAAGATAGGTTGAAGACTCTGGAGGTTAGCAGAGTGAAGGGGATGAAGGCTGACCAGACTAGAGTTGGGGTGTGAGTGTGGCTGAGCAGTTTTGAGTCCAGAGATCAGGTTGAGGTAGATGGCTGAGCAGGAAGGCAGGTGGGTGAATGGTGATCCTGAAGCAAAGGAAAAAACAGGATGGGACTCAAAAACTAAAACAAGCACAAAAGATTAATTTCAAAGATCTTTCAAAATCCTAATTAGCCCGAGACGTCGTCTACCGCAGTAGTTGATACAACAATCTGGCAATGAGTGCATGGAGAGCCGGGGTATATATACTGCTGAGTTGATGAGGAGATGGAGAGCTGGTGTGCAGGTGAGAGCAGGTGAAAGGAATGAACCTCAATCAGGAGGGAGCCAGAGTGAGAGATCAATGACAGCAGTTGTGTCTCTGCTGTGAGAGAGACAAGACGCAGCCTTCAGGTATGACAGGTGGTTTTGTTTATTTGAGTGCTGCTTATGCAGTGTTATCTGTTATCTGGCATAAAGAGGAGCCTACCGACTAGATTGTGTTTGAGTGCAGCACAGATAAGACAACAGGAACCAAGCAGACAGAGCTGAGTGTGAACTTCTTTTGTTCTCCAGAGAATACTGTATGCAAGTCGTATACCTTGTACGTCGTATTTTCAGCTGCAGACATTAGCTCATCATAGCTGCATCCAGGAACCCATGAGGGATGAAAGGGTGACATGATAAACAAAGGAATAAACATGCCAGTTCAGGTCCTCTAAGAAGACATTCTGCTTGAAGGGAAGTCAAACAATATGAACTGTTGTGTAATATCTAACTGAAGTTTCAAACCTTTATCATTTAAAGGTCCCATATTATGCTTTTTCTGGTTTTATATGCCCTTTAGTGTGTTTTCCAAGTGTCCTGTGCATGTTTAGGCACATCTATGTGCAAAAATTCAAAGTCCGCGGAAACTCGGCTTCTCCTACCTCCTCCTGTTAGCTGTAGCATTAGCTGCATGTAACGCTCGGTTCTAGCCCCCCTCGATAAAAATTTGTCAGTCCGACGTCTTTGTCAGTGTGAGATCACTGATCTTAGCCCATTGGCTCGTTGTGGCAAGCCCTGCATTTCATGTTGAAATTTCCGAGACGCGTGCTGAGCAACTGACCAATAACGACAGAGCGGATCGGCAGACCAATCAGAGCAGACTTGGCCCACGTGAGGTCTGACAATGTGGGCTCAACAGAGTGCAGCTGACAGACTCAGAGTGTAGAGGGAGCAAGGAGGAGCAGTACATGAAAACAGACACTTTTTTTTCGGACTTTCGCTATTGTGAACGTACGAAAGTATGTATATAGATTAAATATACGATCCCTAAAAAGGGCATAATATGGGTTCTTTAATGTTGGGGGAAGGAGGGTATTTATGCTTTTATGAAAGAGACAGGACGATGGATAGCTTTAGAAATCGAGGAAATAGAGAGTGGAAAATGAAATATGGTAAAGGAGCCACAGGTTGTATTTGAACCCGGGCTGCCTGCTTGAGGACTGTAGCCTCTATAGAAGGATGATTCCACAGCTGTCTCAGTCCACACAATAGAACAAGGACCTCAGAACATACATGATTTTACAAATAAATAGGAAAGACAACGAGAGGCACAGTGGCAAGCTGAAAACAAACAGAGCTTTGCTAAGACTGTCGAGCTGGCAAAGCTTCTTAAGGTGTCAGTGGACAGGTGCTCCCCTTTTGATTGGTTGAATGTCTTGTTGCAGCTCCTGACCTCTGCTTGCTGGCCTCTGCTTTTTACACGTACCAGGGTGGAATTTTCATGCATATTGTACATCTATGGGTGCTAAAGGTCCTGCGTTGTCATGTCAGACTTCATTTGGGTTGGTTGGTCTTTAGATGGCATTGTGATCACTTCTTCATTTATATTTTTACGTCACAACATGAGATTTGTTTATGTATCTGGCATGAATGTTTATTTTTCGTCTGAAACTAAAAGATAGCACCCTGCACAGGGACCTTTACACATTTCCCATTCCCTTAAACATATTTTAAATGGTATTGTAACATCAGGGAGGTGTGTAATGCCTGTATCTTGACTTAATAGTATATGTATGCCTGTGTACCAACCATCTTTGCCATCTTTCCAAATGAAACAGTGTCAGCTCTCTGTGGACAGAAGACATATGACGAACGCAACGAACTGTGCTGTGAATCATCTCTAGTAGCCAAACCAACACCAGCTTCCAAATGCTGCGGTAATGGTGAGTAGAGCAGAAGAAAAGAACACAATCCTTTGAATTAGACGGGGAAAAAACTAAGAAGTATTGAACAGAAGTAAAACTAAACACACACTGACTATATCAGGCCAGTTGTGATATTGGATGAGGTTAAAGTGATACTGAATAATCCTGATTCTTTCCCCAGAGACATATGATGAAGACAACCAGTTGTGTTGTGGTCTTAATGAAAAGAAGATCCTGAAGAGAATGTCCAGTAACCACGAGTGTTGTGGACAGAAGGGCCAGTACGACAAAATGACTCAGCGCTGCTGTTTGGTGGATAACGCTTTGAAGATACAACCTATTAATTCCACATGCTCTGAGGAATTGTCGAGTGCGTATGAATAATCCCTTTAACTGCTTTACACAGCTTCCTGTGAATCTATGAAATATTTTGTTTTAGTTCTGACTGCTTCTCAGTATCGTAGTGTTTTTTTTGATGTACACATTTTTAAGTTCATCTACTCAGTGCAGCCCGGTTTATGACATCAACAGGTTGATCATTAAAGGTCCTCGTAGATCATAATTGACTGTAAAGCTTCCTATTTCTGTTTTATAACTTAAGAGCAGTTGTTACGACCAGGGAATTTAGGACCCAGATGCAGGACACATAAACAGCGGGGTTGATTGGTAATGAGGTTTATTGTGGCAAATGGAGATGAAGATAGGTTGAAGACTCTGGAGGTTAGCAGAGTGAAGGGGATGAAGGCTGACCAGACTAGAGTTGGGGTGTGAGTGTGGCTGAGCAGTTTTGAGTCCAGAGATCAGGTTGAGGTAGATGGCTGAGCAGGAAGGCAGGTGGGTGAATGGTGATCCTGAAGCAAAGGAAAAAACAGGATGGGACTCAAAAACTAAAACAAGCACAAAAGATTAATTTCAAAGATCTTTCAAAATCCTAATTAGCCCGAGACGTCGTCTACCGCAGTAGTTGATACAACAATCTGGCAATGAGTGCATGGAGAGCCGGGGTATATATACTGCTGAGTTGATGAGGAAATGGAGAGCTGGTGTGCAGGTGAGAGCAGGTGAAAGGAATGAACCTCAATCAGGAGGGAGCCAGAGTGAGAGATCAATGACAGCAGTTGTGTCTCTGCTGTGAGAGAGACAAGACGCAGCCTTCAGGTATGACAGGTGGTTTTGTTTATTTGAGTGCTGCTTATGCAGTGTTATCTGTTATCTGGCATAAAGAGGAGCCTACCGACTAGATTGTGTTTGAGTGCAGCACAGATAAGACAACAGGAACCAAGCAGACAGAGCTGACATTTCCTTGTACGTCATATATTCAGCAGCAGACATTAGCTCATCATAGATGCATCCAGGAACCCTTGAGGGATGAAAGGGTGACATGATAAACAAAGGAATAAACATGCCAGTTCAGGTCCTCTAAGAAGACATTCTGCTTGAAGGGAAGTCAAACAATATGAACTGTTGTGTAATATCTAACTGAAGTTTCAAACCTTTATCATATAATGTTGGGGGAGGGAAGGTATTTATGCTTTTATGGAAGAGACAGGACAGTGGATCGCTTTGGAAATCAGGGAAATAGAGAGTTGAAAATTAAATATGGTAAAGGAGCCACAGGTTGTATTTGAACCTGGGCTGCTTGAGGACTGTAGCCTCTATACAAGGGGCACTCAAACTAACCACTAGGCCACCGGCACCCTATCAGTCTGTACCCTAATAAAAAGCCACCATTTGGGGCGCTGGTGGGGCAATGGTTAGTGAGCGTGCCCCATGTATGGAGGCTGTAGTCCTCCAAGCAGGCGGCCGGGGATCCAATCCGACCTGTGGCTCCTTTTGTGCATGTCATTTGAAGTCCCTGGTAACAGACAACCAAAGAAACTGACAAAGCCAAAGAGTAAGAGAATGTTTATCTTATACAAAAAAAACTGAATTTAATGAACAAGGTGGGGGTGAGGATTGGACAAAGTGGTTGTGCCAAATAAATCAACTCAACAAAACAAAACCGGACTTAACTAGTCTCTAACCTCATGTAAAAGTAATCCAAACACAAACCTGACTAAAAAATATTGAAAGATAAAACCACATACTGTAGGTGGCACATACCACACTTACCTAGTGTTTCTAACAAAGTCAACTAAGTATGTGTAGCAAATGTAGGGGAACACCAACTTACCGAGTCCAACCTCACCACAAACCTTTCAGCACAATGATCCACAGAAAAACTGGCCGATACAACAAGACTGACAGAGAATGATGATCAAACAGCATGACTGGCAAAGAGCTGTTGCTGCAGAGTTGGTGTGTCCTAAAAATAAAAAAAGCCACCATTCAATGCAACTTATGAACACGCTAACATTTACTAACTACAAGGAGAGACTACAATATTTCCTTGAACATATTTGGAGAACATAAGAACATTAAGTCTGTGAGTAAAGAGAGAGAAATCTTTATTTGTTACAGCACAGGACTGTTTCTCTACATACTGAACTCTGTACCTGTGGAAGTTTTTTTTGGGTGTTACTTTCAAGGAATGTGTCAAGCCACAATGAGCTAGCGAATCAGCATCAGTTATTTTTGGCCAAGATCCTCAAGGAAAGCTTCTTCCAAAAATTCGCCCAAGCGTTTGATGTTTTGAAGTGGTTGTTATTGAGACGTGACAGATTAGGAAAAAAAAAACAGACTTTCTGAGCTGACACCCTTATCTTCAGGGCATCATCTGTTCCATAGAAAACTTTTCCATTTAAAGAAATCCAAACTACATTGTTACATTTAACAGTTTTACAACTCATTTATTGCCACTGCAATTGTTAAGACTTGGTTAGATTAAGGTATGAATGTGAGTATGGTGTAAGTTAGGGAAGGATTGAGGTCACGGGTAAAAGAAAAAAAATACTAATGTTGTGAATTTTCACGTTACTTAAACATATTTTCCTTCCAGCTGGAGTTGTATTTCACACAGCTGTTAGAGGTCAGGTTAATGTAAGTGTAGGCTGATGAACTATGAACAATACAGTTGTTTTGTTGTGAAGACATCAGGCACAAAAATGATTTACTCTTTCAAAGCAATCAGAGTGGGCAGCAGCTAACTTGCACACTGCAGAAGGAAAAGACCTCTGAAAACATGATCAGAAAACAAAAGTAGAGACTTGCCTCTGTTCTTTGGTGTTAACATTTTAGCTGAACTTTCACTTTGGAAGTATCAAGGTGTAGCGGTTGTGTACTCTCTCTTGCGTTGTGTGATGAATCATTCAAACACTTTTACTTTTGGCACCAGCACGCCGTTTAATCTGATAACAACAGAAGCACATGCGGTCTCTCACAGCCACTCTTGTAGTAATAAGCTCGCAACATTGCTAAAATATAAGAACAAATAATTGAGCAACCTGTTAAGCAAGCTACACCACGGAGATCAGAAGTTACATTTTAGCTAGCAAAACACACGTGATGAGCCTAAATGACTCAAAAACATAGTAATATGGTCACAGAAAAGTTTTACAATAATTTCGGAGCTTCTCTCGAACATGTGAAATAGAAAAATATTACTTTTATCAAGAAAAACGAACATATTTTATAGTATTTTAGCGGAGCTCATATACACAAACTTACCACGGGGACAGCATAGTGCAGACTGGCAAAGATACACGGGTTGCACTGCTCAAGTCTGCAGGGGCACAAGCAGAGGGCGCTTATGTTACACAGAGTCCCAGTGGATACTCATTAGAATTAATTATAAACGGTATTTAAACAATAGAAATAGTCAAATAAAGACATTCTATGCCAAGTGATGGCAAGTGGAATCATTAACTCCATTACAAAGGAACACAAAATATAACACTGTCTGACGACTTTCCTGTCCAATGACTGACTCCAGAAGAATTTCAAAAACAGCATGTAGAGTCATGAATTCTTATTTTCGCTTTTTGTATTTGCCAGATCTCAGGGAGTTGTTCAGTTGGACACGAACCATTTGAAATTGAGATTAAGATTCCATCCTGCAGGTCATGGAAACAGGGAACGCATGGTGAGATCCAACAACAAGAGAGCCTTAGCCCTTCCCTGTGGCGACTTGTCCCAGCAGACAGGCGCAATACACACACCCGGTGCCTCGTAAAGCTGCTTTTTCCCAGGACTGCAGATCAGCTCATGTCTTTGTTTTGTTCAGATGTGGATATTGAAACACTGTTCACACACAGTTCTACAGCCTTTCTACTCTGGGAAGATAGGATGTGGGTGTTTATCAAAGCAAAACTTTATCAGTTTTTCAGCACTTATTAAATGTCAGCCCTGTTTATCAAATTGGTTTGTCTTGGTCTAACCCTCTGAATCATTTTCTTCATGCCCACACCCTCTGCACATGTTTAAACTCCGCTGTTTTTTTCTGTTCTGCTTGAATTGATCCATCTTGTATCAACTATCCTGTGTCTAGGTCAGGGTAATATTGACCCCACATGTTCACATGTCTGCTGTGCTGGCTGTATCTCTGAGTGGAAGTCTTTGGATCAGGTAATGTACCACTGACCCTTTTTCTATCTTATGTGCTCAGATGAGTGAATGATGTTAACAGTTTAAATACACGCTGTCATCATTACGACGTTATATGTTATTACTGTGAAGGAAAAAACAACAACAACTGCTGCCTCAGTACAGTGAAGTTGACAAAGAGCTCAGAGCTCCTCCCAGCTCCTTTTATAGAGCAAGTGAGAATGTTTTGTGTCTATCGGACTAAAGCCCTGCTAACGTTAGTGCCATGAACGTTAACAGCATTTGGATTAGGATGCTATAAAATCACCCTGGTAAGATTTTCTTTGCACAACTTTCTTTGTAGTTATTAGGATTTGCGATGTTTCATTATTTTTTTTTTGCATTTGAGTGTGGTTATGACCGACCGTGCCCCCTTGTTTCTGCTCTTCCGCACCCTTTTTTATTAAAAAAAAAAATCTCTCTCTCTTCCAGGGCTGCGGAGCGATGCAGAACAGCTTGGCACAGCACAAAGTCCTTTGTTTTGATCTGGAAACAGACAGAAAGGATGGAGAGGAGTGTTCAGACATCAGTGTTCCTTACCTCCAATCTAAAGGGACTATATGTTGTAATAAGTTTCATGGCTCACCAGGACAACACAGCTGTGGGACAGAACTCTACAATCCTCATAGAGAAATCTGCTGCAATGGACACAGGTGATTATGCGTGCATCTCTGTTGATGTTTATCCATAAAAAAATACTGATGACATTCAGTGAAATTGTAACCCTCATTGTTGAATCAGCTTTGTTGGTGTATTTGTCGGGCTCTGTGTGCTGTGGCTTGCAATGTGTTTAAAATGCCAAGAAAAGAGTCTGTGCATGAGGGAATAGAGAATCTCAGACAAGGAGGGGCTGGGGGAAAAAAATCACAGTGTCTGAGACGGGCAGGAATTCCAGTATCTTTCCAGACCACTGTTTCCTTTTAACCTTAAAATGTACCCAGCTACTGAGTCAGGGAATGTCTGTACGGCTGGGTCAGCTGCTTTCTCTTAATTTTTGTATTTTTCTGGCTGACTGTATGTTTTTCACGTGTATGTTATGACTTCTCCTCACACAAAGGTTTACCATATTTGAACGGGGCCTAATATTTAAGTCATAATACATTTTGTTCTTTCTTTTGGAGTTCAGATAAATACTCTTTCCTAACAATGAAATGTCTTTAAAATGTGAAAGTAGTCAATAGCCGTGATTAATTCACATAAGTTATTAATACACCCGGTTGATTTTCAGCTTTTTAGTTTTAGGTCACAGTTTTAGATTTACAGTCAGCACTGTATTGACTGAGTTTGTTGGGTTTTTTTTTCAAAATCTGCCTGGAGAGAAAAATCTAACTTGCTAATCTACATGTGTTTTGATTGATAATATTTCCACGCTGTTCTGAGTCAGTTTGGTTCACTGGTGCTTTTCAGCAGTGTTTTTAGTCATTTCTGTCTGATACATGATTTTCTATTTAAATAGATATTTTATTTTAATCAGTACACCTTCTAACACTAACAGCATAACATGCATTTTACTCAGATTTTTATGCTTCAAGTCTCCCCCCCCCTTTTTGTAATGATCACTACTGTGATACAACAGTACAGTGGCTGAACATATCATTTTAGACACTGTGTTGCAGAAGTGATGTCAATCTCGCATCCATAGCCCCCTTTTTAGACCATCTATCTTTAAATGATCACAATACAATTATAATAATTTCTTCATCTCACTCCCCTGATGTGACACTCACTGCTAAACCTGTATCCACACAGACATTCCAAAGAAGAAAACAAGCGCTGCTGTGGGGTTCAAGCCTACAACATTAAGAACAAACAGAAGAAGTGCTGCGCAGGGACACTGTACCACCTGTCATCTGAAATTTCGGCACATGAAGCACAATGCTGCGGATCCAGCTTGCAGAAATCATCGGTAGGTTTTCTGATAACATCCGTAGTTACTGTCATCATTATGTTTGTAACCTAAACGCATTCAGCGTGTCACAGGGCTACGCCGTACCCTCCAGGGCAGTGGTTCCAAACTGGATTTGGATTTGGAATGTGTGCCTGGAAAAAAGAAACAGTGTCAAAAAGTCTATGAAGTGCTCTTCAAAATGTTTTGATTTGTTCAGTTTCTTTGTTCTGTCACGTGTCTAAGGTCCAAACTGCACCATTTTTAATTACATAAATCTGAATTTGAAATATATTCCAAATTCAGGTCCAATTTTCATGAAGGATTTGGTAGTGGGTCCTTGGTCTATACCAGTTAAGATCCCCTGCTCTAGAGTAAGGTACACACTTGCACGCACTAATGTTACACAGCCACTTTGACGTAAACATCAAGCCGGCTAAGAGGCCCGTGTTAATGTTAGATTATCATGACTAGCAACAACTAATCAGTGTGACTGATCTTTGACAAACCGTAAGTATAACTGCATGTCAAAGAACTTTAAAAATTGTATTTTTGTTACATAAAAACATTGAATTCTTTTTTCAGATATGTGATTGTTACTCACTTGTTGCTCCACAGCCTTGTATACACTCCACTTCCACAATCAGGAACTGTTAAACAGAAATAATGCCTGCCATTGGCTTACAAGGAGGTGTGCCAAGTGGAAGGCGCCAAGTATGGTGGAAGTGTAGGGGTGTTTAGGTTGCTGAGATTAAAAATGTTCTTTTAATGGCAGTTTAAGAGTTTACTTACATGTAATGCAATATGATATGTTTAGCCCCATTTCAGGTGCTTGTGTTGTTTGCAATTCAGCTAATACTCACATGAGATTTAGGCTACAGTATATAGGAGAGGAAGGGGCAGGGGTCCAGATTGTGTAGAGCTCCTTTGTTTCGTTATTTTCATTTTCTCCAGGGCTACACTCTACATATTGCTGCACTTGTTTTCACTGTAAATACATTCACTGGGACTGCAGAGATACCACAGAAGCACAATCCTAACACTGACCCTGCTCTGTCTATTATTCTAACCATTGTACTTTATATCCAGGACATTTGCTGCTCAAATGAACACAAGGAGGTGCTCTACCCTGCCAAGACGGGATTCAGTTGCTGTGGTCACCTCTACTACAACACGTCATTGTGGTCATGTTGTGCAGGGAAGCTGAGCCCAGTCCACAAACCAGGACAGCGTCATGGCAGGTCGATTAAAAGTCAGTTTTGCTTTTCTTGGACACCACTTTGACTAATTGCCTTGAGAGTTAGGCTTGATAGTTGACATTTTAACTTGGTGTTTTTGTCACTATCTGGATCTAAAAAGATGTATATAATGTTCCTTTTTCAGAACCCAGACTTGTATCGATGAGCAACCTGAATGAAGAAGATCTCTGCAAAGAAAGTAAGATATCACTTTCATGCGAACTGGGAAACAGATACTGTTATAAATGTAATTAATAATAAATGTAATATATTTATGTTCCTGTTTAGTGCTTATCGGGATTGTGGACAGTGTGTCTCTGCACAGCATCGTGTTCAGCAGTGTGTTCAAAATCTTTGGAAGAAATGCCACTGTGATACATCTGCCCTCGACTCGCGTCCTGAGAGCACCTGATCACTGCAACTCCCCAAAACTGATCCTTGGGAAAACCTGCTTTTTTGATCAAGTTAATGTCTTCACTGATTTCACCCATGACTCTCTTCACCAGTCCCTCCATTTTATTATTTCCAAATGTTATCGTCCTTAAACCACCTCTGGTTAACCTCTTTTAACAGACATTGTCAGTGTCAGGCGGTTTACTTGAAAAGCTTTCAAGTATCTTTTTACTAAAATTACTGAAGTACATACACTACCTTACTAAGCAGTTTGTAGTTAAACAGCTCAATACATTACCTATTGACGCTTCCTTTAATAGTGCCGTTTCACAACTCCATAGCTATGGGTCAGCCTTTTAGGACATTATTCATAGTTATTGAAACATATGTTATTTAGAATTATGAAAGTACAGCACTGATGATGATGATTTGGATGACTGAGTAGAGCTCAGTATTACAGTCAAGAGATTTGGTTTAAGGTCTCAGAACGAGTCACAGTTGAATTACCTTTACAAACATTGTTCGGGGGAACAGTGGAAACCAAGATGATGAGGGAGCTGAAAACATTGCCCAAAAGGGAAGAAGATAAAATGTAGCTATAACCTAACACCATTCAATAAACTAAAAACATGACATTACTGGATGTATCACGAGCTAAAGAGAATCTTTATTGAATGTGAGAAACAAAAATATATTGTGAGTCAGAACACATTGCAGTTACTGTCAGTGCATTGGGTATAAGTTATTGTGCCTTAATTTGGAAATTTACCAATTGATTCTATCTTGTGTGTCATTTTACCAAACAAATTTGCAATGAAATGACCAAAACATAATTTAGAAAAACAGCCAAGACTTCAAGTAAGCAAACTTTCCAAAATGTAGAAGTCGAGCAGTATTACTGGAATTATTTACTGCAATATTTGTAATAATAATTCTTGTTGCGAAAAGTGTAAATGCTCCTATAAGTGTCTTATAAAGTGAATGGGGATTTAATGATCTGTACTCTTTTAAGTATATGCTTCGATTCATTTCCAACAAATGGACATAAACTACAGGGAAAAGCTGTTGTTTTTGCAAAATACCTGTAGCTGATTTATTTTCTGTCATGAAAGAATATTTATTTTCATTTCTACATAAGCTTGACAGCTACAAGCTAATACATTTGGTGTTTTGAAATAATAAGCTGACCTGAAAAACTTTGGGCTTAAATGTATTTATTCTCACACTCAAGTTAGAGGTGGCAAGTGTTTGCACAAGCCTTTGCACTATTACAAACATGATTTGTATCAGGGCTACAGATATGCTATAATGCTAACAGTCACCCAAAGGTTCAACTGTGCCTTGAAAATACTTCTACATTATCATTTCGGTTATCCTTTGTTGTCTCAGACTTTTCATGTGAATGTGTTTTCTGTAATGTGTTACACTGTTTTGGAAACAGAGTCTATTTTGACATTTATCAGTACTGAACATTCTTCTGTAAACTCTAATTGTACTATTAGAATTAAGGAATATTTTATTTCCCACACTATACTTTCTGTTTAAACTGCATGTTTATATTGATTGATTTATCGCATGTGTCTTAAAAATAACAGGATTTGGTGGGTGCCTGACTCTTTTGTGTTTTTCTACTTAATAAAAACAGTTATGACACCTTATGGGCCACACTTGAGTTTTTGAAAAATAATCTTTATAATGTTCCCATTGTACCCTCACTTTGCAGGCTGCAATCATTCATGATTTGTACTAATGCCACTAAAAAAGTAATGCATGTAAATGTATTACATGATTTCTGTAATACCCAGTCAACGTAAACAAAACTAAACACAAAAGCCAGGGAAGAAATATGAAAGGCCCTGAATTCTCATCTGAACTGATCTGGCTCTTAAACTGATACCAAGCAAAAATCCTTTAATTTTTCAATTAAAAATGCACAATTCTGATCAATACCAATACAAATTCACAGAAGCGCTGGCTTCTTTCTTGCTTTCTTTGGTATTCTTTTGCTTCTGGGTGAAAAAAAAAGACCAGGGATTGACATAAAAGATACCACATTCCCAGTTTACTGTTACTGCATGGTATTAACAGTGTAGGATTGACAAGTGTTAAACCCCAGTCATTCATTTGGTAAGGGAGCTTCAACATGTCCAATGTTTACAACTGATGGAAGTTTACTGATGACCACAAGCTCGACTGGCATCCCTGATGCATACTTTTCCAAGAGCTAGTGCTGAAAGTCGAGCCTGCCTGAGGTGTTGTGGGCCTAGCGTGGGTCTGTTGAAGGTGGCACTGCTGTTTGGGGTTGGGGTGGTCACTAAGGCCCATTGGTGGGGTATGTACTGTAACTTATCATTAAGGCAAAAGCTTGGGGATGAAAGCTTCTGTATGGTTATTTGGGAACACATATTTTATGTTTAATGTAATTTAATCAACACGAGGTTTACAATTTCTAATCATTGGACATGCATATGTTCTTTCCTTTCTTTATATTGAAAAGTTAAACCATCTTTTTGTCAAATTTGCACCTTAATGACAAAAGATGTCAAAATATAAAAGCTGTTCTCTTTATTAATGTAATTCCAAAAGCATGACCTTTTCAAAACAAATACAGACAATTCCAGTAATATACTGGAACAACACGTGTTTTAAATTGACTCGCCTCCCACTCTCTTCAGTTCCAGTCACCCATTTTTTTTTAGAAATTGGGGAATCAACAACATACCAGACATGCCATGATGGAGAGGGGAATTGAAAAGTAGATATTACAAATTTGATGACCTGCATATTATGGGGTTGTTGTTGGCTAACATATACCTAATGTGTGTGTGTGTGTGTGTGATATCCTAATTAGGTTATAATTATCATCAAATTGTTTAACTTGCTGAAAACATGATCTGAGACATCAGTAGAAACAGTTTAACAGGCTGTCCCAGCTTTTGGCATCAGGTTTGAGGGTTGTATTTCTAAACAGAGAAACAGGAGGCTAAAACATTTGATAAATAGATACACAAATAGTGAGGCTTAACCTCAGAAACATTAAGATCAGTATCTCTGTAAGATAGCCTTGCAGTAGACACACACGTTTTCACACGTTTTAAGCTAGTCTGCTTGTGTTGGCTGAAAGAGGCCATGGGCAAGAACAGTGTATATGTTTGTGTATGTTTGTGGTTCATAAAAAAGAGAGTACAGATGGGTTATTGAGCTGGTGGTAAGCAGTAGCCATACACAGATCATTCATGCCTCTGTCAAAGCTGCCTGCAGGCTCAGAAGCAACAGTTGCCAACACAGTTATTCAACACATGAAGTGAATAAGATAGATTTAAAGGGAAGAACAAGATAAAGACAGAGAAAGTGTAAAGCAGCCAATCGGTCTCTCCTGTAGAATCTGTAGACTTATGGTACCAGACATCATGGATCATGTTGCTGTTCATGTTCAAGTGAGAATGAATAAAGATTTCGCCTGCTGCGGCCCGTCCCTGATCCCCAGCAGGCAAACTGCTCGTTTCTACCTGCTTTTTATTCTCATTGCTCTGAACATGCTGGCTGCCGCTGCTATTTTTTCTTCTTTGGAAAGGCCAGCGGAGCTTCAGGCCCACAGGCTTTGGGAAAGGAGGCTAAAGGTTTTCAGTCAGGACCATGACATCAGCTGTGAAGACTTGACGTCTCTTGTTACGCCACTATGAGGAGACAAGTACTTCACCTATCTGGACGGACCGAGGCAGAGCGCTATTCATCATTTCTTAAATATAATACAGTTTTAATTTCTTGATTGTCTTTCGTTGTATTGCAGGTTTTTGTTGTTGTTGTGTTTTTAACTCATTGAGTAAAGTCAATTCGTCAGAATCAGAATATTGTAAAACACTTTTGCTCAGTCAAGGTCAAATGTCTTATCATTCTGATGGCCAATAACAGATAGAAACTGATATGTCCTAATAAAAAGTGTATCCCTTGACAACCAGTCAGTAACATTTTTCACATATCTTTAACAATTACATGCAATGACTTATCACAAGCAGCCTAATACACATTAAGCCACATTGATCTCTATAAAAAGAGATGATTCAAACTCCGCTACAGTCCATCTAAATCAATATTTTACCTGAACCCAAAGAGGACGAAGAAAAGTCTTATCTCTTAGACAGACAGCACTGGACCTGGATCAATTTCCTTTTAAAAACATCCGTTTCTATCGCCTGCAATCATTTCCTTATGTAA